GCCTTCAACTCCCAGAAATCCAAATAGCTGGTAAACTGGCTGGGATTTCTTGGAGTTGTAGGCCATAAACACCTGGGGACCCACAGGTTGAGAACCACTGCCTTAGAGGAAATCATCTCTGGACAGAACTTTGCTATAATAATAATAATAATAATAATAATAATAATAATAATAATAATAATAATACACAATACACAATACACCAGACATCACGATTGTGGAAAAGAAAAAAGCCTGGATTATTAATGTTGCCATACCAGGTGACAGCCGCATTGGGGAAAAACAACAGGAAAAACTCAAAATCGAACTGCAAAGGCTCTGGCATAAACCAGCACAGGTGGTCCCAGTGGTCATCGGCACACTGGGTGCCGTGCCAAAAGATCTCAGGAGGCATCTGGAAACAATAAACATCGACAAAAACACGATCTGTCAATTACAAAACGCCACCTTACTTGGATCTGCGCGCATCCTTCGAAAATACATCACAAAGTCCTAGACGCTTGGCAAGTGATTGACTTGTGATTTTGTGATACGGAATCCAGCATATAGATCTCGTTTGCTGTGACATACTGTGCTTTTGTGTCAGTAAAATAATAATAATGTTATTATTATTATTATTTCTTACTCGACTCTTCTCATGGCACATATTAAAACATACAGACAGTCTCCTAGTTACAAATATCGGACTGAGAAATGACTCATAGTTAAGAACAAGATTGAGAAAACAAGAAGTGAGGGAAATCTACCCTTCAGACAGGAAATTCACTCCTGGAAGAGTTATCATTTTTATTTATTTTTATTTATTTATTTACTGTACTTGTATACCGCTGTTTCTCAGCCTAGCTGGCGACTCAACGCGGTTTACANGAGAGAGAGGAAAATTATCAAACATTTGTACATTGGGGGGACGGGGGACTCCTGGGACAAGAATGTTGAGGAAGCACTAGCATAAGGTTATGTGGCTACTCTCCAAAAGCACAATGGCAGAGCCAGGTCTTAAGATTCTTTTTAAAGGTTTCTAACGTAGGGGCCTTCCTAATCTCTCTGGGCAATGAATTCCTGAGTCGGGGGGCCACAGGAGAAGGCTCTCTCTCCTTGTACCCACAAGGTGAGTCTGAGAAACTGGCAAGGGCGAAAGGAGGGCCTCACCAGAAGATCGAAGGGTTCGGGCTGGTTCATGAAGAGAGATACGGTCATGAAAGTAGGTGGGTCCCAAACCGTTTAGGGCTTTGTAGGTAAGAACCTGTACCTTGAATTGGGACTAGAAGATAAACTGAAGCCAATGGAGCTGGTTGTAGCTTTACGTGCATTCAAACATATGCCTAAATAGAGTTTGCATCTGTTTGGTTTAATGTATAAACACATGTTGAACTTGCCTTCTCTTTTCCAGAGTGAGAGGCCTGGTGATAGGGATGCTTTAGATCAGTGGTTCTCAACTTGTGGGTCCCCAGATGTTTTGGCCTTCAACTCGCAGAAATAATAATAATAATAATAATAATAATAATAATAATAATACTCTATTTATATTCTGCTCTATCTCCCCAAAGGAATTCAGGGCGATTTTCAAGATAAACATTCAATGCAAATCCTAACAGCTGGTAAACTGGTTGGGATTTCTGGGAGTTGTAGGCCAAAACATCTGGAGACTCACAGATTGAGAACCACTGTTTTATTTATTTATTTATTTATTTACAGCTTTTATATTCCGCCCTTCTCACCACGCAGGGGACTCAGGGCGGATTACAGTGTATACATATATGGCAAACATTCAATGCCAATTTTTGACATGCAAACATATACAGACATACACAGAGGCTATTTAACTTTTTCTGGCCGTCGGGGGAGCTGTCGCTTTCATCATCCATTTGCGACACTGATGAAGTGCTTCCGCATTCCCCGCATGCTTTTGCTAGAGTCTTTTTTTTTAATGACCTCAAATTTAGTCTTCCCACACTTTAAGGTGGTATTATTTATTTATTTATTTATTTACTGTACTTGTATACCGCTGTTTCTCAGCCTAGCTGGCGACTCAACGCGGTTTACAACAAAATACCAAATACAATAGTCAACAGTATACAATTTAAAACCATAAAAACATAATACACAATATTGGTACATCAATAACAATCCAATGCATCTCCTGACTAAAATCGTGATCCAGTTTCGTCGTCCATATTACCAATCCTTTAATCATCACATTCATTAAAGGCCTACAAAAATTCTGTAACCACTTGGCAAAGGTTACAGGATGGACCAAGACGTATTTAACTACACTTGGTGGACCATTATGCACGTGTGGACCATAATGACGGATCCTAATTTTCCTACTTGACAGATGCAACTGTCTTTCGGGTTGCAAAGGTTGGCAACAGGCTACACAATTGGTTGGAAACCCACTCCAACCCAGGCTGGCTTCGAACTCATGACCTTTTGGTCAGAGTGATCTTAATGCAGCTGACACTCAGCCAGCTGCGCCACAATTCTAGAATATTATATCCAATTTTCTAAATGTATTCTGCAAGAACCTTTTTATGTGCAACAATTTCTTTACAATTTATGACCCACTTTATCTTGTGAATACATTAATTAGTCTGTAAAAGATGGCCTTTTCATGGTAATAATAACAAGCATCTTGTATCTTTAGTGCGGTTTTCATGGTTATTGTGAAATATGTGGCAAACCTGTCAAAATGCTAAGTTATCCAATTTGGAAAAAAAAGCTGTACTGTTTACTTCTTTTTTCCGATTTCATAGTGTAACACCATAATGGTGGTGGTGGGACTGCAATGCTGGAGGCAAGAAGTTGTGCTGATGTTAGGAATACTGGTGGTAGGGTTTTTTATGTCAGACAGGCATTAGCTGAGGAGCTGGATTAAATATAGAAAACAACTCTGGGGAGAATCTCTGAAACAAGAGTAGTGACACCATAGTTAACACTTTTTAGTTTTCTGTAGATCAGGGGCCCTTAAACTTTTAAAGCCAGGGCCAGTTCACAATCCCCCAGACTATTGCAGGAGAGGGGGAAGGTGGCATTATTGTTTGAAAAAAACATAAACAAATTCCTATACACACTGCACATATCTTTTTTGTAGGATGGCCTTAAGGAGCTCATCACATTGAAGTCCCAATTTATGGGCAATAGCAGGGGGCCATGCATCGTGGTGAATACAGCAGGCAGTGGGGGAACCCATCGCCCCACATCATCCACTTACCTATCCCACGGAAGAAGCATCACAAGGCTTCCCTCCACCCCATACTATTATTATTATTATTAACTTTATTTATACCCCGCTAACATCTCCCGAAGGACTCGATGTGGCTTACAAAGGTCAAGGCCGTCCACAAAACAACAACATAACAATACAGCAATAAAAACTCATAAAGCAAATAATAAACATCAAGCAAAAAATAAAACACTAAAAACAATGACACCATGACGCATTTAAAACCAAAGGCCAGGCCAATGTAATGAACAAAGTTTAAAAGTGCTGGACATGACAGGTGAAATGTAGAGGTTTTTGGACAATCCTAAATCTCTAACAAAGTGCATTTGGGACATGATGCCAGGAGTTTCCTATTCTTAACCACCACCTTCACCCACTCAGCCAATCCCCCTCTGGCCTCCTTCAGAAGCCAGGATGGGCAGGGGTCTAGGGGGGAATATCATGGGGGAAAGGTGTCTCCACTGAAGCTTTATCATCAATCTTTGTTTCCACAACAAGCCACATTCTTCAAAATCCATTTATCACAGGGATAGAAAGTGAGGTGAAATATTTTGAACAGGGGCACAGGCAGTAAAACAAACAGGGGTATTAACCTTTCCCTATGCTATCCAAAGCGCATATATATATATATGGATAGATGGATAGATAGAGATATAAATAGAGATCTGTCTATCTCTATCTGTATATCTCTGTCTGTCTGTCTCTCAGGCTATATATAGAGAGAGAGAGAGCTTGCATATTTTAAGTGGATGTTTAAATAATTGATATTTTAACTCATGTTTTAACTAATTTTTAGCTGTAATTGTTTTTATAAATTAGGTTTTAGCATCTAATGGTTGCCTGTTGTGAAGCCGCCCTGAGTCCCCCTCCGCAGGTGAGAAGGTTGAGGTAAAAATGTGTGAGATAGATAGATAGATAGATAGATAGATGATAGATAGATAGATAGATAGATAGATAGGAGTTACACTTTAAATTATACCTGTACCAACTTAGGTACGAATTCAACTTAAGAACAAACATACAGAACCTATTTGTTTGTAACTGTATTTATAAAAAAATACATTAAACTACACAGAACAAGGAGTAAAATATAATGAATACGTGATTAAAAGTGGCTGGGTAGGCCAGCCAGAAGAGAGAAGTTTTCAGATTTTTTTAAAAATTCATATAGCTTTATGGTAGTTTAACCTTGCAGATTTTGTAAGCCAGAAACAACTTGGGGTGCATCTACGCTGCAAATTAATGCAGTTTGGTGTCATTTTAATTACTATGGCATCCTTAGAGTTGTTGTTTGGTGAGGCAGCCCTAATGAATTATAGAGCTCAGCCACAAATTCAAAGGCATAAATGGAATGTGTTTACATTTAGGCAGGAAAGATATAAAGCACCCATCTGAAAACAAATCTATAGAATCTAATACTGTAGACAATAAGTTAAATATGAGCTAACGTATGATGTGATGGCCAAGAAGCCAGTCTAGTTCTGTGCTGTATCAAGAACTTAAGAAAAGAGGGAAAATATTCACATCATCATTGGAAGGAAAGTTTTTACTGTAAGAGTTGCTCAACAATTAAATATACTGCCTCAAAATGTGCCCGATTCAAATTTGGATGTCTTCTAACCAAGGTTGGATGACCATCTTTTGTGGGTGCTTTAGTTGTATACTCCTGCAGCAAAAGAGGTTAGATTAGATGGCCCTCTCCGTTGCTTCCACTTTTGTGTTTCTATGCCCAAGATGTTCAAATTTTTAACTATTTTCTCTCTCTTAAACGTACAGGTATAATCTTACAGCAAACCAAACATGAAGAAAAACAGTCTGGTAAATCTTGATAAACTTGTAGAAGACTTCTCGCACATAGAAATGGTAATAATATATGCAGATTCAGATTGCATCATTTAAATGGTAATCCACTTAATTTATAAATTAGGTAAACATGTCCTTTTCTACAAACTACTTCCACCTATGGATCACAATGAAATAATTACAAAACAAAAGAACATACAAAACAGCAAAGTGCAAAAACCAATAGCAAGCATCACCAATAATAATACAATAAAATGCATGTCTTGCACTGCAATCCTGCTTATTTAGCCTACAAATATATTCCACTGAGCACAAGAGGACTTTATTTCTGATTCTGAGTAAAATAAAAACCCAGATGATTGTGTTCAAGGACTTCTCCAAATGCAAGGTCTAAAGATATTAAGAAGAGGGTTTTTCCCCCTGTTCTTGAGGTTTAACAAATGTTTTGGTCTCATGATTTACTGTGGCATATCATCAGCAATATTTCTTCTCCGTGAAACCGTTTCAATCTTTCTCCCCCAATTCCCATTATGCCTGGTTCTATTACACAACTGGATATAGGCAAACATATTGAATCTTAATCCTGCAAAGACAAATAGATCTTGTGGTGGAAGACAAGAATTCTTGTTATTGCCAATACTCAGTTTCTTCCAGTCAAACAAGTTTGTGGCTTTGCAGGCCCTTTGTATCAGAGACCAATAATATTTTTAATTCCCTTTCCTCCTAAATCTGAGAAGTTCCTGGAATCAGCGGAAGACCTATTATGGGCTCGCTATAATTCCTGTGAGTTCTTGGCCTTATGGATGCTTTTTCTTGCTGTCTCACTACTATTTCACTTGCCCCTACCAAGCATAGAAGCCACTGGCAAGAGCGAAAAAATGCAGCTTCCTTTGTTTACCTTGAATTCTTCCTCTAGGATGTTGTATGGGTTGAGTTGAATAAGAGAATGAAAGTACCGTATATTCCGGCATATAAGACGACTGGGCGTATAAGACGACCCCCAACTTTTACAGTTAAAATATAGAGTTAAGATGACTCCCATGCATAAGACTACACCCGCGTATAAGACGACCCCTGACTTTTGAGAAGATTTTCTTGGGTTAAAAAGTAGTCTTATACGCCAGAATATACTGTAAGTGGACTGTAGGAATAGGAATTGCACAAGGAAAATCTATATTTGAAAGTAATTGTGATCATTTTGCTTGAACTATGCTTCAAAGACTGAGATTAAACTATATCTGGAAATTGCTGGTGGCAGCACATATTTTGCACACATAATGGACCAGATTCCATTTGATATGTCATAACAAAGCGTTTAAAATTTGAACATTACCCAACAGAAAATATCAGAACTCCATGGAAAAAATAACCTTCTGAATCTACAGTTGGACAAGACACACAAGTTACTGACAATAAGCCAATCAAAGGAATTTTCGGCTAAAGAGGGTAAGCATTTATTGAGCATAACTCAACAAATGTTTACATATGTTTACTGTGTGGTCAACTTAAATCAAAATAGGGAACAAAGTGTGCTCTCGGGCTTAAAATGAAAGCTTTATAAAAAGGAAAATATGACCAGGAGAAAAAAGAAAATTGATTAATTTGGGATTGCAAGCATAAGAAGTTAAATTGCTAACCAATGTTGACATTGCCTAATGGCAGATAGGAGTGTTATTACTGGGATGACTTCACTACTCAACAACCTTGAATAACAATGGCATTCTTATGTTTGCTGCTTTAGTCCAGGACAAACTGGAATTTCAAAGAAAGTCATGTGGAGAAGGTTGCTACATTTTAGAAAAGGAGCCTTCTCCTTACGTATTCCTACTTGCAATAGAAGGACTGTAACTCCCCAATATTCCTTAGTGTTCTGCTTAGTGACAGGACCATAACAGCATCTCTCAGATCTTTATTTGCAAACCAATTAACATGCTTATCCATTGTTTCCCAATACCTCCATGCTGCATGCACTGGTATGTGTTAAGCAATGATGTGGCAATATGATTTCTTATGCAGAGGAAACATCTAGAAGTCTCTTTTTTGTCTGCCCATAGTGGGGTCAGAGATAAATTCCACAGTGGAGAAACAGTGGGAATTTGAAACACCTAATTGTGTGTTTTGTTAAGTTTTAGTGGGAGCTCGTACTTTAGAAGGTCAATTGAGAGTTGCTAGATTCTGCACCTTGGCATAATTAAGGAAGGTTTCTAAATCCTTTGAAAGAAATAGGCATTCAGTACCCACATTTGCTTTAGTTTATATTGCGTCCTCTATTGCTAAATTCCACTAGTTGGTAATTTTCTTTAATCTTTAAATTGTGTCTGTGAGTTATCTATATGAGTTTTAATGTTTTGTTTGTTTCGATATCTTTTTGAAAAACAGATTATAATTTCAGAAGTAGACAGATAGCTAGAACGCTAACAATGTGGCTTACTAGATAACCTGTGAGTTATCTATATGAGTTTTAATGTTTTGTTTGTTTCAATATCTTTTTGAAAAACAGATTATAATTTCAGAAGTAGACACATAGCCAAAACACTAACAATGTGGCTTACTACATAACCTCTAGACTGTTTTTGTTTCTTTCTATCAGTCTGATCCTATTTGACCTGCTGATCATGTCATTTTCCATTTATGGTGTCCCCAAGTCCAGACTATAGGGTTTCCTTGGAAAGATTTTTCAGAGGTTTGCCTTGGACATATTTATTTATAAAACTTACTGAATGCCTAATAACAGCATTTTCTGGGCAAAGTACAACATATAGTAAAACTATTTAAGAACACAAAACAAAAATATGTAAGCTCTAAACTTCTGCATATAAAGACAGAGAATTAAACCCATCTTAAACAGCTAGTTTTAACAAGCATGAAAATGTCTCCGAGTAAGAAAAACTACACTATGATCCTCAGAATTTACAGTAAAGTTATAAGCATACAGAATTGCAGACTCACAAAGAATGGGCTGTAATTTATGTAAAATATTATTTTCACAAAGTACCAAGAGAGAATGATGCCCTTTAGATTTATTGCTTCAAATGAAAGCTGATTATATTTTATAGTAAAAGTCTGTGCCTGGATTATATATTTTAGTAATGTAAATGTTGATTCTATCTTAATAGTGTGTATGTTTGCACATCTGTTGAGAACAGTAAGGTGGAGAAAACCCTTTTTACAAACTATGTAGTGTCCTTCAAATGCCAGAGAGAAAATAGAGCAACTGTTTGACACTCATAGACTTTTAGAAATGGATAGTCCGAGTATGACTAGTAAGCATTGGTCTATTTCTACATTCTTGGATTAGGCAAAAAATGGTTGCCATGATCCATGGAAAAGCAACAAGCTAGAGGAGTCCCCTATCAAATAACTGGATGGCTCGTGGAGAATAATATTGATTACTCAATCCGAATAATATTCTCCATGAACAATGATTAATTGATTAAGAAGAATAAAGTAAGGCTCATAGAATTGTTTGTGAGATGCCGGTATTTCATGACAAATATATACTGTATTCTCTTGAAATATAAGAAATGCTACATTCATTGCCATGAAGCCTGCAGAGGGAAGATGATAATGATGGGTTCTTTAATGCTATCGGGATGTCCTTTTTTGTGCACACAACTCTGATGGATCATGCTGCTTGTTGCTTCCTATATAAAGCAATATTTGATACGAGTTGATTGTCTGGAAGAAATAGTGGAGATACCAGAGGTCCATCTTGTGTTCACTAGCAGTAACAGCAAGTACTTTGCAGTATTTTTTCTTAAATAAATTGCAAAGTTTATAACATCAAAAACAATGCTTGAAATTATCTGCAATATATAAAAGTGTTAATTACAGCAGATTTATTTCTTCCTATTTAAAAATTGTAATAGTTAATAAATGAATGAATTTTATTATACGGGCACAAACCAGGAGTTTAAAACATTAAAATCAGAGGGTTTAAAAAACAAACAAACATTAAAATCAGAAGTTCAAAACATTAAAAGCAGAAAGTCCAGAATATGCATCTATCCTAATTGGCTTTATATATGACACTAAATTAGAATCTGTGAATATTGGTATTAAAATGAATAGGTTAAAACATTATTCACTAAAATCACCCGCAATCTGTTTTCTTAATTTTATAGCTGCAGCACAAAACTTAACCACCTTAAAAGTGGTCCATGATTTCCTGCCCTTCGTTAGGTATTTTAAATAATATTGTGTACTATAGGACCAATAAAAGCAAATTAAATATCCCTATAGAAGTGACAGATAGTTCTTAATCAATATAATAATTAACCATAAAAACAAGTATACTCCAATTGGAAGAGTGGTATAGGGAGATCTGGGACATTGCAATAAACGATAAACTGACAAGAAACATTAAGGTTAAAAGAGGATTATCAAAAAAAGATGATTTTGGGAAGACTTGGGGGAAATTGATAGAATATATATATATAGAGAGAGAGAGAGAAGGTAAGGGGACCAAACCTGTAATAGGCACACTGATTTTGGGAAATAAGTATTGTAATTGGCTCCTCTGGGATGAAGGGTCAGCACTGGGTGATTGGACAATACGTAATGAAGCAGGAGGATGAAATATTATAGATATCAAGACATACATGTTCTGTACAATTTGTTAATGGGAAGTGATAAGATAAGAATGTTTAAACACTGAATATGTTAAAGCTACAATAAATAAAAAGTTTAAAAATTAAAAAAAACAAGTATACTAATTCTCTCTTCTTTTCAAAGAATGTGCAGCACTGCAAACTGTGATTAAAGGTCTCCAACAAACAATAGAAAACCAGTGTAATTTGAGAGGTAATAAAATAGAAATGCATATTGCTGGTAAGTTCTAAATCTATTGGGATAGAATGTTGCCATTGATGCATAAAATTTCCGGATTATATTATAAATTTCCAGATCATAAAATTTTGAGTACAATTCATAGAATCATAGCACTGGAAGAGACCTTGTGGACCATCCAGTCCATTCCCCTGCAAGAAAATTCCATTCAAAGCACCCCAGGCAGCTGGCCATCCAGCATCTGTTTAACAGTCTCCAAAGAAGGAGTCTCCACCACACTTCTGGGGAGAAAGTTCCACTGCTGAACAGCTCTCACGGTTAGGAAGTGTTTTCCTAATTTTCAGGTGGAATCTCATTTCCTGTAGTTTGAAGCCATTGTTCCGTGTCCTAGGCCCTTCCACACAGCCATATAATCCGGAATATCAAGGCAGGAAATCCCACAATATCTGCTTTTAACTGGAATATATGGCAGTGTGGACTGAGATAACCCAGTTCAAAGCATATATTATGGAATTTCCTGCATTGATATTCTGGGTTATATGACTGTGTGGAAAGGCCCCTAGTCTCCAGGGCAGCAGAAAACTGCCCTATGACTTCCTCTCACTTTACATGGCCCTTGTCATGTCTCCTCTCAGCCTTCTCTTCTGCAGGTTAAACATGCCCAGCTCTTTAAGTCACTCTTCATGGGGCTTGTTCTCCAGACCCTTGATCATTTTAGTTGCCGTTCCCAAAATGGATAGAATTCCCAACAAAGGGAAAACACGTTGTCTATCTAAGACCTTGCAAAAGTAAGGGCTTGTCAACACAGTGATTCAAACCGGAATTTGTTGCTGGCTGTCTTCACAAGTTTATCCACTTCTGGTGAGTATTGTGGGTTAAACCCGATTAATCCAACATTGCACCACTTCAGTAAAACTCAGGATTGCTCCAAAGTTGCTTGAAACTCCAGAGTATCCCGCTGCTTTAGGATGCTGTTGGCAAATGAGTCAGCAAAAGAAAAGCAGCCTGTGTTGCTACCATTGCAGTACTCAGCAGGCCACAGAGCTTTGTGTGTGCTCCTGGCCTTTATGGTTTCCCTGATCTGCAATCGGCAGAGCTACTCATGCAGCCACAAGAAGGTGGGGAGAATGGCTCTCTCCTTCTTCCTGATCATGCTTCTGCTGATGTTAGCACCGGATGCTCTCCGGTGCTAACCATAATTTCCCAGGCCATAATTTCCCAGGTCAACATTATACAGAACTGTGGGGATTGATTTTTTTTCTGTGTCAAGAGTGACTTGATAAACTGCAAGTCGCTTCTGTTGTGAGAGAATTGGCTGTCTGCAAGGATATTGCCCAAGGAAAGTTTTGATGTTTTACCATCCTTGTGGGGATGGCAATATGAACGGTGAGGTCATGGTCCTGTAGGACTGATGAAATCTTGATCCAGACAGATGGTGTGGATGTTCACCTACCAGGTTCAAGAGAGTCCATGCTGCTGTCATATTCTTCTCCAGACCAATCTCAGATTTATCAGTCAGTGTAGACTTGGCCTAAGTCATTCATCTGGTCCACAGAATCTTAATGTTCTTAATAGATTCCAGAAGAACCCACTGCTGCCAGCCTTTCCTCAGAGTTTATTTCTTAGATCGTTTAGGTGCTCTTCATCACTCTGGGGTGTGTAAAGGCCCTACCAGCACCCAAGGGTTATTAGAAAGCAATAGAATTTGATATTTTCCTTAACCCTTGGGTTCCTTTGTGGTCTTATTCATGGTGATTTTATTCAGATGCTTTGCCAATCAATTTGCTGTTGTTTCTAGAACCATGATGATATTTATTTATTTATTTATTTATTTGGTGCATTTGTTGACCGCCGCTCTCAGCCCTAGGGCGACTCGCGGCGGTGTACAACATATAAAAGGCAAATTACAAAAGGCAATACAAAACATCATATCCACAATACAACAATTATATAATTACACTAAATGATCCGCCCCGTCTCATAGTAGAATCATAGCCAAGCTCATAATCCAAATTCCGTTCCAGTTGTCTTGCCAAAACTAATTGTAGCATTTAATTAAATGCCTGCTCGAATAGCCATGTCTTTAAGCTTTTACGAAAAGACATAAGGGAAGGCGCCTTACAGGGAGAGTGTTCCACAGCTGGGGGGCCACCACCGAGAAGGCCCTCTCTCTCGTCCCCACCAGGCGTGCCTGTGAGGCAGGCGGGATCGAGAGAAGGGCCTCCCCGGACGATCTTAAGGCCCTCGTGGGCTCATAGGCCAAGATGCGGTCTGACAGGTATTTCGGGCCGGAACCGTTTAGGGCTTTGTAGGCTAACACCAGCACCTTGAATTGATGATATATGAAACATAATATAAAGTTATTTAATCATTCGCTTGCACAGATGAAAATGAGACGCTGAAGAACACAGTCCATATTTTGGAAGAAAAATTGAAGGCCCATGAACAGGTGGGAGAATTCAACTTTATTTTCAAAACTTCAAGTTTTGACCCCTGCTGCACTGCCATATAATCCAGGTTATTAAAGCAGATAATCCACATTATCTGCTTTGAAATTGATTACATGAGTCTACACTTCCAGTTTAAAGCATACAATCTAGATTTTATATGGCAGTGTAGATGGAGCCTGAGGCTCCTTCCACAACGCTGTATAAAATCCCACATTATCTGCTTTGAACTGGGTTGTATGGCAGTGTGGACTCAGATAACCAGTTCAAAGCAGATATTGTGGATTATCTGCCTTGATATTCTGAGTTATATGGCTGTGGAAGGGACCTGAGTTACTTTCTGTTGTAAAATGGTACTTTCCTGGGCATAAATGAAAATATAGAGGGAAATGGCAAAAATATCCCTGCGAATATTTGGGAATATTTGGGGCTGAAAAATTGATCAGGTGAGAGGGGTTGCAGTGGAGCAGTGGTCCTGCAAGCTTCTCTGTCCCTCCAGTTTCTGTCCCTGCTCTAGCTGATAGAGATAGTCATGCCAGTTTTCTATTCAGACAATTTGCCCTGATAACAAATTGCTGTTCTAGTAGGAAGCCAAGAAGCCAGCAAGTTTGGTGATGTGACTTGGTTCTAAATTAACTTAAATCCAATGATTATATCTACAGCTAAAATAAATGTGTTTAACTGTACTTTCTAGAAAGTAATATCTGTTGATCAAAATAAGGCTTCTCAGTATACATGCTTCTTAAATTGATTTGTGGGTGAGGATTACTTATTACTCTTCTACAGATGAAAAGCTGAGGTTGCATTTTCAAGCTTCCCAGTAATTTCATGACTTCCAAAATCAATTTTGAAATGGCTACTGGCTATGGTTTTAATGTTTAAAAAATCAAAGGAGATTTTAGGATATTTTACCAATTCAATATCTGATCAGATATGTAACTTTTTATCTTGTTTTACAAGGTTGCTTGAATATGTTTACAGGAACACAAAAATATGGTTGATAGGCTCTTCAAACAAATGGAAAGCAAGGCAGAGGAGTATAAACGTGAACAAAGGAAGCTTCACTGTGACGTGAACAAAAAATGTAAGCATAATATATCTTCACAGCCTGAAGGTGCTCAAATCTTTCTCAGTAATGCACACTAGCTAATCCCAGACTTACTATTTCAAATGCAGTACCTAGACCCAATTGCCCATATCTGATAGCTATGGATGAAGCTGTTACTAGTTTTGACTTAGAATCATAGTATCATAGAATCATAGAGTTGGAAGAGACCTCATGGACTTCTTGCAAGTTGTTCACTTCTGGACATCTCATTCAACATTTCCTAATTATACACTTAATAGGAGGAAAGATTGATAAGGAGCCTTTTCTATTATAACAGAACCAAATATTGTATTAAATTTCATCATAACAAGAGTTTCTCCCAATCCCTCGCTGTTATTCCCTTCTGCACATTAGAAATGAATGTGTATGTTTGCTTTATTTATTTTATTAGTAGAAGCCAAAGACGAAGAACATAAGCAGCTAATACTGAAGAAAGATATGGAGATTTTAGAAATAACTAGTAAACTGAGAGCTCAAGAAAAGGAAAAACAGAATGAGATAATTAAACTGCAAATAGAGGTATGATTTAGAATTGACTGATTAGCACAAAACTTTTGGAAAAGAGGACTTCTTGAGGTTTTGTATGTCAAGTGTGTCTATTCATATGGAGCTTTACTATACAACTCCACCCACATCTGGGTTTTGTGTGGTTTACTTTATAGCCACAGTGTTTAGAATTGCTGCCTTCAAATCTTTGGATTTTCTCCAACAATCCCAATGAGGCATGCATAATGCTGTCTTCGGAACAACTCTGTGAGGTAGATTAAAATGAAATATTATAGTAACTGGCCAAGTTTTCTTCATTGATATAGGAACCCTACCCTCCTTGTTGAGTAGGAACAAAGGGAACTGTCTGAAATTGAATCAGAGTATTATTTTTTCTGAGCAACAGCTCAACTCTCTGGGGTTATTTTTCTATCTCTGTCTGAAGATCTCTGGTATTTCTCAGTAGTTTGTCATCCAAATACTAACTAGACTCGTCCTTCTTAACTTCGAAAATCAGGCGGAATCAGGTGGCTTTCGTGTGGCATACTCCAAACTACAATGACTAGCTTATTATCTAAATAATATTATTTGTCCATACAGTTTTCCATATTGGGTTTATCAACATGTCATTTTGTTACTTTATTTCAGTTTAATGCTAAAATAGCAAGGCTTCAAACCAAAACACCCAAACCATATCCAAGTCCAACGGCGTTACCTCAAACCATTTTCAGAAGGGTATGTTTTTCAGCATATTCCAAATATTAATTACTTCTGTGGGTGTTTAAGTATTTAATAGGTCAGTATCTTTTGATAAAATGTGCATTCATGCCTCTGGCTGTGCAATAAATTGCCTGAATCTGTTGACTCCCTGATGAAAACCATAATGTCTTCTCCATTAATTTCAAGAAACTTGCATTAATTTCCCACCCCATTAAATGACTTGGGTGTACATTCACATGGTGTCTCAGAACCAGGATATATTGTCTTCTCTGAAACTCTTATCCATTAATTTCAGTGTGTGTGTGTGTGTTTTCAAGTCACCTGTTGACTTATGGCAAACCATACATTTAACAGATTTTTAAGGCAATGAATACTCGTTTTCAGTTTCTTTCCCTAAAATACAGTCAACAGCACCTGATATTTGGTAGCACTCTCTTCCAAGTACTAGCCAGGACTGATTACTTTCCAAGGTCAGACAGAATTTGGTCTTTATTATATGTATGACTTATTAATTTCAACAGAATTGCAAAATCTATAATAGGTTGGCCACCAGATTTTTATTTACCATATTCATTATTTGTATATTTTTAACTACTGTATGTCTTTTTGTAAACCACCTTGGGCCCTAGCCTGGGAGAAAGGCAGGAACATAAAAAGAGATGGGTGGACTTCCAGTTGACTCTATTTTGACAGCTTCCTGAGCTGCGATGCAAAAATAACTCCAAGTTAAAATATTCACAGGCTACATCCATTAAACTGTATTTTAAGTGATTTAAAACTACACAAGAACTGAAGTGCATTTTTAAAAATCAAGATAGGAACTTCAATATAAGCTTCTTTGGCTGTTTAAACAAGCTTTTGAGAACGCCTAGTCCCTAGTTGACTTACGCAATTGTTATGCAGCCTTGCACTTTATCCCATACCCTCTTCCCATGGTTACAGCATTGCACTTATCCCATTCCCAGTTCGATCGTTTACAGCCTGGCCACGTTTATAGTACTTTGCCCCATTGGTAATGAGTATTGTTCAATGGAGTGCTAGTTGTTGTTTATATGGCTATATATTTTATTTAATTGTATTTTTACATTGTTTTCATTTTATATTCTGTTTTAGGCACCTTGTGCCGTGTGTAAGCCACCCAATATAAGCTTCTTTGCCTGTTTAAACAAGCTTTTGAGCTTATATTTTCTGCTAGTTGAATAAACATTCAGAACTCCAAAAAATGAAGATTGAACTTATATAAGAATTCTCTCTATTAGCTTTACTTTACTTATGTGGGCACAAACCATGATAAAATATACTATTTACAGTGTACAGCATTTGCTCTGTAGTTTTCTCAGCTGGGATGATGAAGGGCTAGATGGCGTAATATGCCTGTGCTCTGAATGTACCAATGGTTTTCAGTTGAAACACAGTATTATGTATATATTGTGTATTTCACATCTGAATTTTAATGAGCAACAAAATATATGTTAAATATCTGTAGAAACTTCAGCATCTTGAAGAGGAGAAGAATAAGGAGATTGAATTTCTCCGCAATACCATTAAGGATTTAGAACAGAGACTTGGTAAAAGACAAGATTCCCGCTTCAGAAGGCACCAGTTTTAAGAATGATATGAAAATGCTACACGCTGAGAAACATAAAAGACAAGACCACAGTGGATTGATAGAAACTTTCTTTCCTTTATTAAAAACATTATTTTTGGCTGCTCGTTCATAAACTTTCTAGTTATATTCTAAACTACTTTCATGCTTCTGTGTGTTCACCATAAAGATATTCAGGTTTTGTAGGAGACTTGATTTCCCTAATAAACCATCATGAACAACGGCAAGCACAATGTTAGCATTTTCTTTCTGTTACATGTTTTCTTTCACCTCTGAATCCTCCAAACCTGGCATACAAAAATTGAATTATTTGCAAAAAAGAGGAAGTAAATAATAAGAGAAGTATTATACCAGTTTCATTATTCAGTTATAAAAATTAACATAGACAATTCACAGATCAACAGAACTTGGAAAGCTTAAATCTTACTTAAATCTGTTCAGCAAAGATGTTTCTTGCATTGTTCCTTCAATAAAATATCCTTCTACTTGCTCCACCTCACCCCATGCACTCTTTCCATTCCAATTCCTAATGGCTATGATCCTTAGCTCCAGAAAGACTGTCTAAAGAAAGCTACTTCAAAGACATATACAATTACTGCTAAAAGCCCCAGCTACATGAATTTCTAAAAATGTGCAGGTACACAGTCTGTTACTTTGAAGTCAGAAATTCCAATAAATTCCTTTGTGGATGAAAATGCATTATCTGAAATACTTTTCATACTCAAGCTTTTAATAAGCAACACATTCTATTGTGAAGTTTGATCATAAAGTGGCTTTATAGTTTTTCATGAAAAACAAATGTTTTCATGAAAAACAAATGTTTATACAGTGGCTTGAATTTTTTTAAAAGTTTAAAACTAGTTAACTTGTCTTTTCTTATCCACTCCTGTTCTTGGCTGCAATATATCAAACAGAAGCCCCTAGGTCATAGTTTCAGCTTCTGTTTTCATGAATGCAAACAGAATGGTAGAAGTGGAAACAAGAAAGACAAATTAACAAAAAAACAATGCACACACTCAGAACGGGCACTGAAAAGCAGTTCCATGTTATTACAAGGGAGTTCTTGATGTTACTGTTGTTGTTTTCAAGGTAAAGCCAACTGACCTAGATAGTTCAGTTAAGCAACAGCACTTGACCACAGCTGAACAAAACTGAAATTCACTATTCTGACTTAACTGGTCTATGAAATGAGCTATATAGGTTGCTTAACCTGTTGAATGGTACATAACAGGAAGATTGCAGTTGTACTAGTTGCCATTTTAACTCCTTTTTGTTGTTGTAATCTGATGGTATCAATATTTGCATTATCATGGAACCAACAGTAAATTTAAGGTGTTTAGACGGTTTTTCAGGCTCAGTTACCCGTTCTTCCTGCTCACTGTCAGGCATCAGAGGGCTCAACCGCACTCACTGCTTGTGGCTGTCAAACAGCTGTTGGCAGTCGTCACTGTCAAGACTCAGAGACATTTTCTGCCAACAGCTGCCCCTGTCACCTGCAGGAAGATGGCAGCTCTCCACGACAATGTCAGGAGGCGACACTATTCAGATCTTCAAACAACAAGTGTCGTCAGTGTCAGCATCAACTACCTGATGTTTCCCTTAACAGCTGCTGCCAGTTTCAGCTCAACTGTCGGTTGCAAATGGCATTTCCCTTTCGTCAGAGCCTCTTCCCTTGTGGAGGAACGTCTGCTATTCCCTCCTGTGGGTTGGCTACAACCTGGCTACCTGCCTGACCCTCTCTGTTGTGCTCCACACCCTTGTTATGCCGCCGATGGTTTGATGAGGACCCATGTCTATGGCCATGATGCCCATGTGGGGCGAGGTGGTGGTGAGGTGCTGCTTCAGTTGACTTTGATATATTCTTGCATATTTCTTCATCCTCTGTTGTCTGTACAGAAAATGTGCATAAATGCATCTAGTTATAGCAGCCAAGTGTAAAAGTATACAAACAAAATGTTAACTGAGAGTTATATACTTAAGCTTAACCAGGATAAACAAGTCAAGGTGCAAAAAGATCTTTCAACATCTTAGGACCCTTCTACACTGCCATATAAAATCCAGATTATCCGCTTTGAACTGGATCATATGGCAGTGTAGACTCAGGTAATCCAGTTCAAAGCAAATAATGTGGATTATCTGATTTGATATCAATCTACAATATACTAAAATGCAAGTGAGAATGGGTTAAAATAACCCTCTTCCACTCGTGTTCTAGTCCCCACTCTCAACCCAACACCTGGGCTTTCCCTGGAGTGGCTGCATGCTATCCCGCATTAAATCAGGATAGCATGAAGCCCCGAAGCCCTAAATTTTCCCTCTAAAACTTACTGAAAAGGGTCTCTGGCAGCCATGAAGCCTGTTCTTGCCTCCTCCTGAGTGGAGAAAATTATGCCTGAGGAGATGAGAGGGGTGAGGAGGAAAATCCATGCTTCCCACCCCCAATCTCCTCACACATCATTTTTTTCCACTTAGAGGCGGATGCGAGGAGAAGCATCATAGCTTCCAGGGACCTTTTTCAGTAATTTGGGGGGGGGGGAGGAATTTGGGGCAAGGGGGTGGGCACTCTTTTGCACTGTTGAGCCCCAAAAATGCAAGATGACTCTGTGACCCCCCCCTTCCCCAGGAAACGCATGATGCTTCCAGAAAGTCAATCCACACAGACCTGATACTTCATTAGACTCAGATCTTTCATTAAGATCCAGATCTAATGAGGTATTTAATTAATGTGAAGTAAACCAGGGAAACCCGGTTTACTCAACATTAATTTGCTTTTATAGATGGCGTCGTTTGGATACCTCCAGCAAATGCGAGACAGTTCTCAGATTAAAGGCCTGTCTGGAAACGCCCTTAGTAAGTCTGCTATCTTTCAACCTGGGATAGCACTGCAAAGCCTACCTATGAACTGTATTTATCAGAGTCACTCCAGATATTTACATTCAAAGAAAAATATGGGCCTGAAATAGCACAAGAAACGGGAAGTATATAATGTCAACCTAAGAAAGCCAATGTTTATCATGCTTGGCATCCACTGACATTGATGGAGAAGAGTTTAAACACATGCTTTTTCCTGCAATAGTGTGTAAGAATTGACAAACATCAAAACAAGTCTATGCTATCCTTCATAGAATAGACCTATTAAATTGCAAAAACCGATCAGCCATAAGAAACTTTCAATTTCTATTCAATTTTATGCAAAGATATTCATAACTAAGAAGAATAAAGTACATACCAAGTCAGTACAGTTTTCACATTTGGATTGACAGTATGTGATCTGAATGGCTTCTTCCACATATGGAAAACTGAGATAAGTATAAGGCAAACCAAGGTGATACACGAGACGGCCGCACCTAGTAAGAGAGTGACCCATGTTTTAGCATAAGTACAATATATATTCATCGAAATTACTGCAAGTATGGATTTTGTTTTCATAAAGGTCCTATTTTGTATTGATCCCTAAGATTTACTGCAAGAACTGTGTGTGTACATGTGTATGTATGTGCTTTCAGATTACCTGTGTATATGGGCCTCCAAGATGCCTGTCAATTTATGGCAGCTCCATAAATTTCATAGTGTTTTTAAGGTGAGAAATACTCAGGTGTGGTTTTGTCAGTTTCTTCCTCTGAGATATAACCTACAGCACCTGGTATTCATTGGTCATTTCCTATCCAAATACTAACTGGGGTAAGCATACTTAATTACTTATTAAATGTGTATTTATATATACATGAAAGTTAAGTGCATTTAAACTGACTTCTATTTCAAAGTAGATTATGGTATACTATTGATAATGAAGTAGAAGGACTACATTGTACATGGACTAACTGTACTGACTACAGTGCATTTAATTTTCTCAATTACTGTAAGTGAATGATGATCATTAAAAAAAAGAAGAAAATCTGGGGAGTACTGGGGTTCTTCAAAAAGAGAAGTTGGAGGGCTGCAAGCAGGCTATACTTTGCTCATCCTTGATGCATGTCACACAATTCAGAATCAGGTTTATTGGTGTGATTAATGTTAAAAGAGGACAAATGTCAGAGCAATCAATTTTTTTTATCTCAACCTGGAAGCCCACCAACTAGGGACCTATCCCTATTCTTCCAACTTTATTTCTCCCTCTGAGATCAAAGTCTCTGTTAAAGAAGTAATGCACTATACTTTGTTAATTGAACCTGTATACATAATTCAAGAATTCAAAGTCAATGAATGTATTTTGCATACCATAAACTCATAGCCCTTTCGCACAAAAACCTATTTCTGTTTTCTACAAAGTATTAATCTACTTTTGTGCAAGGGAGTTGTTTCATTGGCATTGTTAAATAATTGTTGCTCAATAATCCAGAGATCTAACAAAAGGCCCAGAGCTATGTTCCTCCTACCCTTGAACTAGCCAAAATCTCAGCATGACACAATGGCTCTTATTCATCCAAAATAACTGCAGAATACCATCTGATTCAAAATAAATATAGAACTTTAAAAATTGAGATAATGATATACAATAAGATATATGTTTTTTAAAAACTAGTACAGGTTGAATTTTCCTTATCTGAAATGCTTGTAGCCAGAAGTGTTTTGATTTTTATTTATTTGGAATACCTATATTTAGGCCCATAGCCAGGATTTCGATTCGGGGGGGGGGGGGGGGCTGAGTCTGAGTGAAAGAGGGTCCACCCTAGCAAACCTTTTGTATCGTTACCCCAATACCCCCATGCATATGGGATATATTGAGTATGGTGATCAGATCATGATATGAATAAACATAACAGTTTAAATAATGCACCAGTAAGGCCTTTTCGCGAACCACCATGAGAATTTGGGGGGGGGGCTGAATCCCCTCAAGCCCCCCCCCCTCCCCCGGCTACATGCCTGCCTGTATTTGCATATACATATATAATGAGCTATCTTGGAGATAGAAGCCATCTAAACACAAAATTTATTTATGCTTCATATGTAACTTATACACTTAGTCTGAAGTGAATTTTATGCAATATCATTAATCATTTTCTGCATGAAACAAAGTTTGCATACACTGACTCATAAGAAAGCAGAGGTGTTATTCTCTCTTTTACCCATGTGGACAATTATGGATTTAGGAGTATTGTGGATTTCGGAATTCCAGATAAGGGATACGCAACCTACAATTCCTTTAGAGTGGTGCTGTCCTAATTTTTGTTTTATATACTGACCTGTCATAGATCAAGAAATCATCCTTCTTTCCGTTGAGAAGTGTCCAAACATCAGGCTGTTTTGAATCTTGTTGGTATACAGGAATGTTTTCCGAAATCCTTTCTCTTAGATGGTGAAACTTCAGCTGAGAATGTTGCGCTTTATGGTTGACCACGATAAAGGAGACATTGGTCAGGCCATCACTTTCTAGCTTCAGTCGCAGGTCATCCAGGCTAGCAGATATAAAAAGGGAGGAAATGTATGCTTTATGTTAATCATATTTCCTTTAAGAGATAGGAAAAATGTTATTAGGACAACTAAAGTGCAACTAAAGTGGCACATAAACAGCCTACTTACAACCTAGTTGTCTTAATAAAGGTTATTCTCAGTCTCTGATTTTTGTTCTTACAATAAAACTGTGTAAGTGGACTGAAAAAATCATGACAATACCAATGGTCCAGGCTAGAAACCAACCAATATGAGGTTGTCATTTTGTGACTCGAAGGATAGGACATCTATTGTTCTCTGTATCATGGATGAACTTACTAGTTAATGTTTTTTAAAAGTCTATTATGGAAAAAAGTTTAAAAAATGACAAAAGCATTACCTTATAGAAAAAATACTAATTTTATGGTTAGCAATTTGTCACATAGGGTGCATCTGGGTCGACAGCAGTAAGCGTGAAAAATATCTTGGAGTCCTTGTGGACAAAAAGTTACACATGAGCCAACAATGTGATGCAGCAGCTAAAAAAGCCAATGGGCTTTTGGCCTGCATAAATAGGAATACAGTGTCTAGATCAGTGGTTCTCAACCTTCCTCATGCTTTGACCCCTTAATACAGTTCCTTATGTTATGGTGACCCCCAATCATAAGATTATTTTTGTTGCTACTTCTTAACTGTAATTTTGCTACTGTTGTGAATTGTGATGTAAATATCCGATATGGAGGATGTTATTTCCATTCACTGGACCAAATTTGGCACAATTACCCGATATGCCCAAATTTGAATACTGGGGTGGGGTTTGTGGGAGGGGGGTGATTTTGTCATTCATGAGTTGTAGTTGCTGGGATTTATAGTTCACCTACAATCAAAGAGCATTCTGAACTCCACCAACGATGGAATTGGGATGAACTTGCCACATAGAACTTCCATGACCAAGAGAAATTGCTGGAAGGGTTTGGTGGGCATTGACCTTGAGTTTTGGAGTTGTAGTTCACCTCTCTCCAGAAAGAACTGGGACTCAATATTCCCAAATGTGAACACTGGTAGAAATTGGGGAAAATAGACCTTGACATTTGGGAGTTGTAGTTGCTGGGATTTACCGTTCACCTACAATCTAAGAGCACTTTGAACCCAGCCCACAATGGATCTGCACCAAACTAGGCACACAACCTACATAGCCCACACTGAGCACTGGTGGGGCTGGGCGGGGGAGCTGTTTTTGAATTCTGGGAGTTGTAGTTCACCAACACCAAAAAGGAAGAGAAGGACAGTCAGAGAGATCTTCAGCCTTCTCTGTCAAAAAGGTCCCTAAGACCATCAGAAATATGTGTTTTCTGATGGCCTTTGGCAACCCCTCTGAAACCCCCCAGGGGTCTCAATCCACAGGTTGAGAAACAATGGTCTAGATCCAGAGAAGTCATGCGACCCCTCTTGGTCAGACCACACCTGGAATACTGTGTCCAATTCTGGGCACTGCAATTTAAGGAAGATATTGACAAGCAGGGATGTGTCCGGAGGAGGGTGGCTAAAATGATTAAGGGTGTGGAGAACAAGCCCTTTGAAGAGCAGCTTAAAGAGCTGGACATGTTTAGACTGCAGAAGAGAAGGCTGAGAAGATACTTGATAGCCATGTATAAATATGGATAGGGAAGAGAAAGCAAGCTTATTTTCTGCTGCCCTGGAGACACTAGGACATGGAACAATGGCTTCAAACTACAGGAAAGGAGATTCCACCTGAACATCAGGAAGAACTTCCTGACTGTGAGAGCTGTTCAACAGTGGAACTCTCTGCCATGGAGTATGGTAAAGGCTCCTTCTTTAGAGGCTTTTAAGCAGAAGCTGGAGGGCCATCTGGTCAGGGTGCTTTGAATGAGATTTTCCTGATTCTTGGCAGGGGGTTGGACTGGATGGCCCATGAGCTCTCTTTCAATTCTATGATCTACACAGTAGAATTAATGCAGTGAAGCACCACATAAACTGCCATTGCTCAATGCTGTGGAATAACTGGAATTGTAATTTTACAAGATCTTTAGTCCCCCATGTCAAAGAGTGCTGATGCCTTACTAAACAACAACTTTCATCATTCCAAAGGATTGAGTCATGACAAAATAATATGAGACTGCATTCATTCTATATTGTGTGTATGTACCCATAGATTCCAAGCAGAGAAACAAACAATGCAAGTTTCAGAGACAAAAATAATATTACTGAGCCCTTCCACATCTTATAGCAACACCAGGGGCACTTCAAGTGGCCAGCAACTGATCAAAGGACATTTAATAGAATGTCAAGTTTGCAAACTTTGTGTGGGGGGGGGGGTGTTTTGTTTTGTTTTTTGTTTTTAAATGCAATACAACTGTTTGGTTCACTCCTGATACGATAAATAAATAAATAAATAAATAGTAAAGAAATTTGTTCTAGGAAACACAATATTCATGTAAAGACTCCAGAAAACGTAATCATCTTTCTTCTCTAATCAATCTTGGACAAAGTTCTCCCTTATTTCAATGAGAAACAGAACTCAAACTGATATCTTACATTCAAATACAGATGCAAATCTAGAGTGTTGTCTTACCGGGAAGCCTGCAACAGGCACAAGTATCAGCTGGCTTGAAGAAGAGCCACCACGGTCACAGAACCTCTGGAGTCCAGCATTGGATTTTGTTCCCCAATTCGCCAGTCTGGAGGCTCTTGACATCGGGTGCTTGGACCCTGGCTCTCTGTCCCTCCTCCTGGGAGGAGACAGAGAGCCAGGGCCAACCCCAGCCCAGCCCACATGGCTGGGCTTCAGCTGCAAAACAACACAAACAAGGCAAAGTCAAGAAGGGCGGAAATCTGGGAAGGGCATTAGAAGCTATCAGAGAAAGGACCCCGTCTTGAGTCTTTGGGAAAAACAGCACAAGTTCCTTGAGAAACTTGTTCACTGCGTTTTTCCTGGCATTCTTCTCCCACCCATTTGTTTTGGTAACTAGCAAGTTTCTGGAAAATTACTTTGTATTAGATACAAACCAAAGCAAGTTTCCAATATTAAGGCAGAGTGGTGTGCGTGTTGGACTACAACTCTGGTGACCAGGGTTCAAATTCTGGATCTGTCATGGAAACCCATTGCGTTACCTTGGGCAAAGGCACCGTCTCTCTGCCTCACCCCCTCCCACTCCAACAATTCCCTGTGATAGAATCGCCATAAATCAGAAATAGCCTGAAGGCATACAACAGCCATACTTTAATCCTTATACATTAAAGAGGCATTCAATTTTTTAAAAAGATTTAAAAAATCTTATTAATCTGATATGTAGCCTGAGTCTGAAGCATTTCATTCCAGAGATTAAACATGAACAAGGTCACTTGGACACATTAAATGAAATGCCAGCATTTCCTGACCCAATATACTGGGGGCAATATGTTGTACAAGTCTTTAATGGCCGGAATCACTGGGTTGCTGTGAGTTTTCTGGGCTGTATGCCCATGTTCCATAAGCATTTTCTCCTGACGTTTCGCCTGCATCTATGGCAGGCATCCTTAGAGACTGTGAGGTCTGTTGGAAACTATATAACTGTGGAATGTCCAGACTAGGATGCAGAACAATGGTTTCAAACTACAAGAAAGGAGATTCCATCTGAACATTAGGAAGAACTTTCTGACTCCGAGAGCTGTTCGGCAGTGGAACTCTCTGCCCCAGAGTATGGTGGAGGCTCCTTCTTTGGAGGCTTTTAAACAGAGACTGGATGGCCATCTGTCGGGGGTGCTTTGAATGCAATTTTCCTGCTTCTTGGCAGGGGGTTGGACTGGGTGGCCCATGAGTTCTCTTTCAAATTTATGATTCTAGGGTGGGAGAAAGAGCTCTTATGTGTTCAAGGCAGGTGTGAATCTTTCAATTGGCCACCTTCATAAGCATTGATTAGCCTTTCGGTTTCAAGATCTGTCTCTTTACTGCCTGGGGGAATCCTTTGTTGGGAGGTGTTAGCTGGCCCTGATTGAGTCATGTCTGGAATTCCTGTTTTCTGAATGTTGTTCTTTATTCACTGTCCTGATTTTAGAGGGCTTTTAAAAATACTTTGTTCTTTTTCATGGTTTCCTCTTTTCTGTTGAAATTGTGGATTGGGGACACTTTGGAATTTGACGCGCGGATTGAGCTACTTGCTTTGGCCATTCTTTGCTGCTTTCTCCCCCCGCCTCCCAAGGCATTTCAACTATTTGCAAACTCCCAACCAAGCTATGGTAGTCCAAGCCTTTGCAGACTTCCGAAGCGCCAAGTAGCAATTAAAGTGGGGAGGCAAAGTGGACGTGAGAACTAGAGACGAACTTACCCGGGGGTCCCCTTGGCTGCGCCCTCCTCTTCTCGCTTTGTCGCTTTCCCAGGAGACAGACCCGCCGGAGCTGCAGAGCCTTCGTTTGCCTGCTATTTATACCCCGCCTGTTTATCTGCTGAGGTTGGGTCCAAAGTTCGGTTGGGGTGGGGTGGGGTGGAGAGGGGGGACTTTTGCAACGTCCTCCAGGGCGAATCAACAGCCCCAGAAACACGAAACCCAAGCCTCACATTTGCTTTGATGACACTCCCCAAAAAACCATGCAGGGCTATTGTTTGGCCACAGAAAGTGGATGAGGAGGGGTCTCATTCCAAAAATCCCCTCCCCACTGCCTCCCTTCAAGCCAAAGGAAAGGAGACGGTGGGAAGAGCCTCAGTTCAGAGAAAAAGAAAAGTTTTGTTTCGTTGTTTTCTTTCAAGAGGGAAGAAGGCAGGAAGCTGGAGCTGCTGCGCCAGCAAGTTTCCCCTTCCCTCCTCGCTTTGAAGGCACCAGGGTCTTGGGTTTGGTGCCAAAAGAAACGTTTCTGTCGAAGGTTTGCATGGCTGGAATCCCTGCGTTGTTCAATGTATTGTCGAAGGCTTTCATGGCTGGAATCACTGGGTTGTGGTAGGTTTTTCGGGCTATATGGCCATGTTCTAGAACAGTGGTTCTCAACCTTCTTAATGTCACGACCCCTTAATACAGTTCCTCACGTTGTGGTGACCCCCCAAGCAAAAAATTATTGTTATTGCTACTTCATATCTGCAACTTTGCTACTGTTATTATGTAAATATCTGATATGCAGGATGTATTTTCATCACTGGACCAAATTTGAATACTGGTGGTGTTGAGGGGATTAATTTTGTTATTTGGGAGTTATAGTTGCTGGGATTTATAGTTCACCTACAATCAAAGAGTATGCTTTACTCCACCAACGATGGAATTGAAGCAAACTTGGCAGACAGAACTCCCATGGCCAAAGAAAATACTGGAAGGGTTTGGTGGACATTGACCTTGAGTTTAGGAGTTGTAGTTCACTTACATCCAGAGTGCACTGTGGAATCAAACAATGTTAGATCTTGACCAAACGTGGCATGAATACTCAATATGCCCAAATATGAACACTGGTGGAGTTTGGTGAAAATAGACTTTGCCATTTGGGAGTTGTAGTTGCTGGGATTTATAGTTCACCTACAATCAGAGAATTATGAACTGCACTAATGATAGAATTGGGTGAAACCTCCCACACAGAACCCCCATGACCAACAGAAAATGTTGTGTTTTCTGATGGTCTTTGGCGACCCCTCCAAAAACCCCTCGCGACTCCTCCAGGGGTCCCGACCCCCAGGTTGAGAACCACTGTTCTAGAAGCATTCATTGTAAGTTATGACAGAACAAATTCGGTCATAACTTCAAGGTGGCCAATTGAAACATTCACACCTAGCTCCAACAGACAAGAGTTCTTTCTCCCACCCTGGACCTTCCACAGATATATAAACCCAACTTTCCTAGTTTCCAACAGACCTCACAACCTCTGAAGATGCCTGCCATAGATGCAGGCGAAACGTCAGGAGAGAATGCTTCTAGAACATGGCCGTATAGCCCGAAAAACCCACAACAACCCAGAAACGTTTCTGCCCAAAAGCTGGTCTGCAGCTTCCAAATTGATTGGTTATATGGATCCAGCTCTTCAAAGTTATGGGCATGAGCAGGGCTGGCTGGTGGCTTCTGGGTTAGTGAGAGTGTTAAGCCCACTCTGGAGTTTAGTCTGAACTTTATAGGAGTTGTCCAAAGTACTGAGCTCTATTTTGAGGGGGGAAATTTGGACGCCTTGGATTTTTCCTTTAAAGTTCATATTAATCCCTGAGTGAGTTTGTGGCCCCATTGACATGGGTGTCTGCCTTTGGGTGGGAAGTATGCTCCATTCTTAGACTAGATGAAATTAAATGCCAATGTTTCCAATCCAACACAGATATAGGTAGCTATGGTATTCCAGATATTGGACTGCTGCTTGCAGTATCCTAGCTGGACTGCTGTGAGTTTTCCAGTCTGTATTGCCATGTTCAAGAAGCATTCTCTCTTGACGTTTCACCTGCAGCTAATATCTCAGTATCACCTTAGATCGAACACTAGCATATAGGAAAGTGCTTGAACACCAAGCACAAAGTAGCTGCATGCAATAACATCCTGCGGAAACTTACTGGCAGCACATGGGATGCAGACCCAAAATTAGTAAGAACATCAGCCCTGGCCTTGTCTTACTCAACTGCCGAGTATGCCTGCCCTATTTGACAGRGGTCTGCCCATGCAAAGCAGGTGAATATAGCATTTAATGAAACATGTAGAATAATCACAGGATGACTTAAACCTACACCTATTGATAAACTCTACAAACTAGCTGGCATTGCCCCCCCCCCCCCGCCCCAATGTGCGACGGGTAGTTGCTGCTAAATGCTAGAGAAATAAGGTTGAACATTGCAAAAGCCATCCACTACATGGCTACCAGTCTCCTCCCAGTAGGCTCAAATCAAGGAAGAGCTTTATGGGAACTACCTCTCCTCTTGGCATCCCCCCAGCAACAGCAAGGATATCCCTCTGGGTAGCTAAACCAGGAAATCCCAACTGGATGACCCCCCACAAGGGTCTTCCTATAGGGGCAAACCAAAAATGGGCAACTTCGAAGTCCCTGAACAGACTCAGAAATGGAGTGGGCAGATCAAAAGACAACCTGGTAAAATGGCACTACCTGTGGAGCAGAACAGACAACTCCACATCTGTATGCTTGTCCACTATGTCCTGCCTCATGTACAGAGGAAGAATTGTTGGAGGTACAGACAATGCCATTGCTGTTGCCCATTTTTGATCAAAAGATATTTAGCCACCTGCACTCCTATTTTTATTGGTTTTATACTAATTTATGCAATGCTGTAGATATGAAATAAATAACCTGCACCTATGGCAGGCACCCTCAGAGGTTGCAAGCTCTGACTAGGCAAGTGGGGTTTATATATATCTGTGGAATGTCCGGGGGTGGGGGGGGGAAACTCTTGTCTGTTTGAGTCAGGTGTGAATGTTGCAATTGGCCACCTTGATTAGCATTAAATGGCCTTGCAGCTTCAAGGTCTGACAGCTAACTGCCTGAGAGAATCCTTATTGTCTGAGAACACAGAAATACTGGACCACTCTAAAAACTACCATGTCACACTACACAGAGAAGCCATTGAAATCCACAGGCACGTTGACAATCTCAACAGAAAGGAGGAAACCATGAAAATGAACAAAATCTGGCTACCAGTATTTTAAAAACTCTAAAATCAGGACAGTAAATAAAGAACAACACTTAAAAACAGGGGAATTCCAGACAAGAAACAATAAGAGCCAACTAATCACCTCCCAACAAAGAATTCCCCCAGACAGGAAGCAGTGTGGTCATGCATGACAAGGAGCTGGACTGGTTGGCCCTTGGGGTCTCTTCCAATTCTATAATTCTGTAACACACTTTTATGTAATCACAGAAGAGTCCATTTTGATGCCCACTATCAGCTATACAAACTTTCCCTACTTAAATACAATGTCACATTTGTCCTGTTTTGCCCAACCTGGGAGCAAGATAAAACAAAGCAGGACTAGCAGCCAGAAACAATGGCTGCTTTAGCCTTGTACAGACAACAGAGATACTCTGTACCAGGAGCTCACTGCTATTGAGAGCTGTTGCCTGTTGATACTAAGCCCTGGTTCACTGTGTTCTCTTTTGAACCAAAGTCTACCATTATTTTGACACTTTTTATCTGGCAAGTTAGAATTCAGCTTTTAAACTTCTCGAAACCACTCTGCCATTTTGCATCACCTTGCTGCTTTGGTGGTGGTGGGCTGAGAACAACAAGGAGTCGTTCTTCTTTGTGAGAATATACTCTTGAAGCTTTTTTTATCATGATTTGGAGATGCCACTTCCCACTTCTTAGCAAAACAACTCTGGCTTAGAGTTTTCTGCATGGCATCTTTTATTACAGTGGGTCCTTGGTATTCACTGGCTTTGGTTCAAGACTCCTGTTTACTCAAATCCGTGGATGCTCAGATCCTGTTACATGCAATGCCATGGTAAAATGATGTCCCTTTTGGGTTTTTTTTAATCAAGCCACGGATGGTCAAGTTTGTGGATGCAGAATCTGTGGCTGTGGAACATTGACTGTAACACAATGCAATCCGTCACAGAGCAAACTCCTTTTGATAAGTCAGCTGTTTACAGGCCACATCTCAACTGCTCCTTGCCCTGATCTGTCTGAATATTGTCCTGTTTTATATCTAGGATAGTGTTGTTATCCAGGAGGACTATTTAATAGCACAATTCATCTTATCTATATCGTAAGCTTTAATCTTCTGAGAACATAACTGGGCTGGAAACGACAGCTACTCAGTTCGCCGATTTTAGAATGCGCTCTTTTGAGAACGCTCTGGTTTAAGAAACTAAAAAAAATCAAATTAATGTTTAAAAAGTACATTTGAGTCTCTGTTGTGCTACTGAGCCAAATGCGGAAGAGACAAGGACCCAAAACAGTGAGCCAAATGCTAATCAAGGTGGGCAACTGCAACATTCATACTTGTCTCAAGCAGACGAGTTCTTTTTCTCACCCTAGACTTTCCACAGATATATAAACCTCATCTGCCTAGCTTCCAACAGACCCCTCAATCTCTGAAGATAAATGCCATAGATGTGGCCAAAACGTCGGGAGATAATGCTTCTGGAACATGGCCTGGAAAACTCACAGGGACCCAGTGTTTACTATTACAGTATCTTATTTCACACAGATGTTTTTCTTTGTGTTACTGATTATTTGTATCACATACTGGTTTCAGGATTCTGGGAGCTGCAGTCACTATAGTTCTAGACTTATGACATACAATTTAAAACCTCAGTGCTATTGCAGTGTTGCAAATCAAGCAAGACTCGTGGGTTTCAGAACACTGGCAGCAATTTCAGGGGCCACAAAAAGGGCATTTGGAATTTGTATGCCATCCATGGGCCTCATTATCCACTGCACTTGTCAATCTTTCTGCTACAAAATAAAAATAATTAGCCCACAAAGTCAATTTCTCCTGCAGTTTCATACTTAATGTTCAGTGTTCCTTGAC